GGATTGGGCAGATGGGTTTGCGCCCCCCCTTTTGCGACTCTCAAATGGGTAACCTCCAAATTGGTGGGTGCACCTTGAACAGAGGGGCAGATTGGCGTGCCTGCGAAAACCCTCGGAAGGCGCCCAACCCCGGACCCAAATGGCACCAGACTGGAAGGGGCCTGCAGACTTGCCACACGAGAGGCACAGCTTTCTCCGATCTCTGGGGCCAACGCGCCGAGCCTGGCGGCGAAATGGGAAATATTGGGAAATGGTTGGTTGGCACAAAACCAAAAGTTTTAAAGAGAGGACATCCAGTTGCTGACGGGCTCCCCGCCACTGCGCCACGGCCGGGCCGGCGTATGACAGCGGGGCAAATGGGCTAATGCGCCCGCTGGGGGACGAGAGGAAGCGTTCAGTTCTGCGCTTGTGGCCTCCTCCAGTCATTCGGGGTGCCGGAGTTCGTCTCCTTGCAACTAAATCCATGTTGGCCCCGCTTTTCGTTTTGTTCTTTGAGTTGGTCAAAGGGAAACCAACGGGACACCATCCACTTTGGGGTTTTGGAGACAGCAAAGAACCTGAAACAGCGCCTGCCAAGCTGCCGAGGGTCCGATAGTCGACTGTCAGACCTGCCGTCAGACCCGCCAGCGAGCGGCGAATCGAGTCGCTTTTTGAGATGCGACAATCGAGCATCGGAATGGAGCATACCCTCTGGGAAATCAACTCCTAACATGACGTCATGGTGGAGCAGGGCTTTTTTCGGTATAAAAAAGCAGGGACGCAGGAAGTGAAATATATTTGGAACATGTCAAAACTAGGGCCCCCTGCAGCTGGCAGCCTGCCTTGCTGCATGCTTCGAGTGGCCACTGAAGAGTAGGTAACGAGAAGACCATGTGAGATGCAAAGTGACAAAGTGAATCACAGATGATCGATGTCCCTACTTTGCTTTGCTTGTTTCTCTTCTTTTGAATCGGTGAATCGAACCTCTCTGCCATGCTTGCCTAGCTCCGATATATATATATATATACATATATCTCTATATATATACACACACACGTTTGATTCACCGTTCACGAGTACTGGAGTTCCGGTTCATCTGACCCACTGAATTTTGCGTTCAGGTGATCCTCCATTGGCAGTTTGGTTGTTTGGAGGGCTTAAATGGGGGCCAACCAGTGGGAAGCATCGGCAATCCAAAATACCATTGAGGAGTTAGCTGACAAGTCTGCACACAAGGGGATCCCTAGGCTGGTGCATCCTGTTCTCCTTCCTCTTCTTTCTCCCGTTTTGGTTCCGTGCCCTAAGTGCTGGGCGAACTCAACAGCAGATCAATGGGTCCCGACCGGTCGCGCGTCTTATTTTCCGAAGGGCGTGCCACATGAATCCGTGAATTCCGAATCTCAGAGAGCCAAAGAGCTCCGTCTCGCAGTTGAGCGGGTTTGGTTGAAGGCAAAAACGGGGGGAGGTGGGGCAAACTGCACAACAACACCTGGTTCTGACGTATCGAGCTGCTGGTTTGCTGCTGGTTCCCGACGAATTGCTTCAGTCGAGTTCTGTCAAGTTGGGGAGCACATTGGGTGGGAACACTAGGTTAGGACGTGTTTTGAATGGCAGTTTTCTTTTTCTGCGGGTGGTGTTTCATTGTTGTTTTTTGTAAGCTGCCATTGGCAGCCCCTTTCCAGCATTCGTTCGGTCGTTGGAGCCCGGTCAGAATGCCGGTGGTAGTGCCAGACCGGAGGGGGCCCGGCGCCAGGGCTCGTCTTTTTCTTTCTTCGAATTGAATCTGCCATTCTGGTCAACCATGCTTTTCAAGAATCAGAGATCCGTCTTTCAAGCTGTTCTTTTTCAATGTTTGTCACAGCTTGCTGGAAATCGGACGTTCTGTTTTCCCGTTGTTTCTTCTTGGGAGGTTCTCGAAGTTTTCTGGAAATCGGATGATCCGTCTTTCTGTTGCTTTTTGTTGGGGAAATCGAATGATCCGTTTTTCTGTTGTTTCTTTTTGGGCGGTTTTGGAAGTTTGCTGGAAATTGAATGATCCGGTTTTTTTCTGTTGCTTTTTGTTGAGCGGTTTTCAAAGTTTTCTATTGTTTCTTCTTGGGCGGCTCTCGAAGCTTGCGGGAAATCAAATGATGTGTTTTGTCTCTGGGCGGTTTGTAAAGTTTTCTGGAAATCGGATGATCCGTTTTTCTGTTAAGTCTTCTGGAGATCAGATGATCGTTGTTTCGTCTTGGGCGGTTTTCGATGCTTGGAAACCGGATGATCAGCTTTTCTGTTGCTTTTCTTTGAGGGTTTTCAAAGTTTTCTGGACATCGGATGATCCGTCTTTCTGTTGCTTTTTGTTGAGCAGTTTCAACGTTTTCTGGAAATCAAATGATCCGTCTTTCTGTTGCTTTTTGTTGAGCGGTTTTCACAGTTTTCTGGAAATTGAATGATCCGTTTTCCTGTTGTTTCTTTTTGGGTGGTTTTCTAAGTTTCTGGACATCGGATGGTCCCGTTGTTTCGTTTGGGCGGTTTTCAATCTTTTCTGAAATCGGATGATCCGTCTTTCAGTTGCTTTTTTTCTTTCTTTATGAGCGGTTTTCAAAGTCTTCTGGAAATCGGATGATTATTTTTCCTGTTGTTTCGTTTGGGCGGATTTCAATCTATTCTGGAAATCGGATAATCCGTTTTCTGTTTCGTTTTTTGAGCGGATTTCAAAGTCTTGTGGAAATCGGATGATCCGTTTTCCTGTTGTTTCGTCTTGGGGCAGATTTTAATGTTTTCTGGAAATCGGATGATCCGTTTTTCTGATGCTTTTTTGAGCGGTTTTCGAAGTTTTCTGGAAATCGGAGGATCCGTTTTTCTTTTGTTTCGTCTTGGGCGGTTCTCGAAGTTTTTTCGAGTTCGGATGATCCGTTTTTTTCTGTTGCCTTTGTTTGAGGGGTTTTTGAAGTTTTCTGGAAATCGGATGTTCCTTTTTTGCCTGTTGGTTCTTCTTGGCCAGCTGTCAAAGTCTTTTTTGGAAATCTGATGATCCACTTTCTGTTCTTCTTTGTTGAGCGGCTTTCAAAGTCTTCTGGAGATCGGATGATCCGTTTTGCTGTTGTTTCTTCTTGGGCGGTTTTCAAACATTTCTGGAACTGTTGCAATATTTTCAGCGGTTTTCAATGTCTTCTGGAAGTCGGACGATCCGTTTTACAGTTGTTTTGTTTTGGGCGGTTTTCGAAGTTTTCTGGAGATCGGATGATCCGTCTTTCTGTTGCTTTTTGTTGAGCGGTTTTCAAAGCCTTCTGGAAATTGAATGATCCGTCTTTCTGTTGCTTTTTGTTGAGCGGATTTCAAAGTCTTGTGGAAATCGGATGATCCGTTTTCCTGTTGTTTCGTCT